TAAGAGTCCCCAGTAGAATGATCTTTTAATTTAAAAAAATTTTTCAGTGTTTGGCAAGATTTAAATAACAAAATTCACCACAGAGGCCTTTTTTCACAAGAATGTTTAAAAAACAAAACAAAACGGGGGGCGGGGGTTGTTTTTGGATATAAACTTGACAATATGCATTAGATTGTAAATAAAACAAATAAGCAAACCCGTCTACTTTGACCCAGAGGTGCTTGCAGGGATTGATCATGAGCTGGTCATTGCATAATTGTAAAACATATACAAGTAACTGAGTTTTCCGTGAGAAAACAGGGGGCGACTCAAGCATCCCCCCAGATGGGTTATCCCCCCAGACTCTTGCTTATTGGCACTTACTGAAGTCCTGATGGCAGAGTGGGTAATGTCCTGTGACTGTCCTTAGCTACCCTTGGGTCACTTCTATGTGTGCCCAGCAGGACGGACGGCTCTATGGGGTTTTTGGAACCTTCTGGTTAGTAATCATATGCTTAACCATTTGGCCCACCCTTTGAAGGCTAGATGTTCTGAATCCGGAAACATTCAATAAATGATTAGGGAATCGTTAGCATAATTTAGATCGTTCATTTGTCAAGGAGTTGGGTTCTGATTTTTATTTAAATAGCACGCTTTGCTTGCACCAAAGAGAAATGAGCAACATTCAAAGGAGGTGGAGGTTTGGCTTACCTGGCATCCCAAGGCTGCTCGTAGGAAGGTCAAGACAGGAGACGAGATGGGGGCAGCTCCAGTGACCATGAGTTCGACCTTCCCGCCCAGACCTTCCTGTCCAGTAGAGACAAATGACTCACTCAAACCCATCTCTGAACATGGTAGCTGAGCCTAACATTGCTCTAAGCATTTGTTTAATTTATGGGGCATCTAGGAAAGAGACTGACACCCTAAACGAGCACTTAAAATAATAGCTCTTATGGTCACCACCATATCTGGGGCCAGAACCTGCATTATTTGGTTAAAAAAACACACACAAAAAACAAATTCCTCAGATGATTTCTATTCCTGGGTGCCTCAAATTCTTTATAGTCACCACAGGAAACCTTTTGAAACCAACCAGGTAAGCAAATAAAAAAAAAGTGCTGGAACCTAAGGAAAATAGACTAAGTTTTCCCGCTGGTGGCAACACTGTCTGAATGGTAGCTTGTAAGCTTGAGTAGACACAGAACGTCTAAAAGGATCTCCAGGCAGAGAGATAGTCAGTCAGCAGGGGAAAAGCAAGGTGTGAGTAGGCAGTGTTACCTGGACACTTGCGCTTCCCTTTCCAGGACCCACCCAACCTACCTGAATCTTTTTAAAGATGAGCTTGTCCCACAGGCTGTCCTTTCTGATGATGCCCCTTTTCACTTCACTGAACTTGTGGGCAAGCGCCAGGTCCAACAGGAGCTTCTTCAAGGGTGTCTTGGCTTCATTTTGTACCTGTAGAATGAGACCACCTCTTGGTTTGAGAACCGATTGGAAATACTCTGTAGGGTCACCTAGTCCATGCGAGAGAGAGAGAACGCAATGTTGGCTCCTTCCTAAGGAAGTAGGGTGTAGAATAATAATGAGCCCAGCAAGCTCACACTCACTGAGAAGAAGGAGGCTTTGTACATAGTACACAGACCACCAACCCCTTGGGGATCCTGGTCTTTGACAGCTGATCTTTGACAATAGCTCTGACAACTGAGAAAAGGTCATTGCCTTCTACAAAGCCATCTGGTGGTACTTGATGAAAAATCACAAAGACAGAAAGGACAATAGGGAAGGGAACTTCTCCACAAGAGCAGAACTAGAAGCTTAGAATGCTGTGCCCACTCCCATCCCCTCAGTGAATAAGTGCCCCTGATGTACTGGCAATTGTGTTTGATTCTGATTACCAAGGGAAAATTGAACTGATATTACATAATAAAGGTGAAGAAGGAAAAAAATTAACCCCCACAGCTCAAAAAGTAGCCAACACTACGTCAACTAAGTCCACGTGGAAGAAGCACACCAGTCTGTACGATCCAAGGATTGTAAATAATAAAATCCAAATCGGAAGGAGGGAATGACATCAGAGCTTAAATTGTGGACACCTGGTTTGCAGAAGGATATGGATGACTCAAGTACTCCCTCCGTGCAAGAATACTTTCTTCTATTAAATTGGCATTCTATGATGCTCACCTTCCTGACAAAACCACTGAAGACAAAGCGGGTGAACAAGCAAATGTGGTGAAGAAAGCTGATGGTGCCCAGCTATCAAAAGATATAGTGTCTGGGGTCTTAAAGGTTTGAAGGTAAACAAGCGGCCATCTAGCTCAGAAGCAACAAAACCCCCATGGAAGAAGCACACCAGGCTTTGTGATCACGAGTTGCCGAAGGGATCAGTTATCAGGCATCAAAGAAGAAAAAATCATATTGTGTGCTCACCTCCATGATGTGATCACTGAAGACAAATGGGTGATGGTGCCAGGCTATCAAAAAATAGTGTCTGGGGTCTTAAAGGCTTGAAGATAAACAAGTGGCCATCTAGCTCAGAAGCAACAAAGCCCACATGGAAGAAGCACACCAGCCTGTGCGATCATGAGGTGTCAAAGGGATCAGGTATCAGGCATCATCAGAACAAAAAATCTTACCATAGTGAATGATGGGGGAAGTGCAGAGTGGAGACCCAAAGCCCATTTGTAGGCCACTGGAGATCCCCTTACAGAAGGGTCTCGGGGAGGAGACGAGCCAGTCAGGGTTTGATGTAGCAACAATGAAACACACAACTTCCCTCTAGTTCCTAAATGCTTCCTCCTCTCCCACTATCATGAGCCCAATTCTACCTTACAAATCTGGCTAGACCAGAGTATGTACACTGGTACAGATAGGAACTGGAAACACAGGGAATCCAGGGCAGATGAGCCCTTCAGGACCAGTGGTGTGAGTGGTGATACTTGGAGGGTTGAGGGAGGGTGGGTTGGAAAGGGGGAATCAATTACAAGGATATACATGTGATCTCCTCCCTAGAGGACGGACAACCAAAAAGTGGGTGAAGGGAGACATCAGACAGGGCAAGATATGACAAAATAATAATTTATAAATTATCAAGGGTTCATGAGGGAGAGGGGAGAGGGGAAAAAATGAGGAGCTGATGCCAGGGGCTTAGGTGGAGAGCAAATGTTTTGAGAATGATGAGGGCAATGAATGTGCAAATGTGCTTTACACAATTGATGTATGTGTGGATTATGATAAGAAAAAAAAGGGGGGGGGGAGATACGGATGACAGTAGAAGCCCAGAATCCCCTCGCAGGGCCCACATGGGGTGAAGCCTCTAGTCAATCCTCTGGGCCATAAACCAGGGAGGGATGTGAATGGCCTTGTATCATACAGCGTGCATTGGAAATCGGATTACTGCAGATGTCACTAAGTTAAAATTTAACACCTTATCATTTGATCTCCCTTTTGACCCATTTTTCATTTGTTCAAGTTTTAGTATTTTCAACTTTCTTTTCAATTGAGGTTTTTCTCTGTTTTACTTTGTTGTTGTGGGAGTTTGGGGGGTTATGGTATTTCTGTATATGAAATCCAGGATAGGTAAATCCATAGGGACAGTAACTGGATTAATGGTATTTGGGGGCTATGGCAAGCAAACGTTGGGCGAAAAATGTTCTGCAATTGATTGTGGTGATGATCGGATAACTCTTTAGTCTGATTGAACTATTAGATTGTATGATATGTGAATTATATGCCAATAAAATTGTGTTGTTGTTGATTTTTAAAGCACACCGAGGGTTTGGGATTTGGTAGATTAAAGATGGGTCAACCAATCTGACTTTTTAATCAAGTAAAGCTTCTCGCCTCCCAGGGTGATGCTCATACAAGCATCGTATATACTAAACTTGGGAAATCTCCGCCTTTGTCTGTAGCTAAAGTGCCTCTCCAAGACTCCACATTCCCTGCCAGCAAGTCCATTCTGACTCAGAGCAGCCCTGTGGAACCAAATAAAACTGCCCATGTGGGCTTACCTTCTGAGAGGGTAAATCTTTTTTTAAGAAATTATTTTATTGGAGGCTCGTACGATTCTTATCACAATCCATACATCCATCCATTGTGTCAAGCACATATGAACCTTTGTTGCCCTCATCATTCTCAAAACATTTGCCTTCTACTTTAGCCCTTATTATCAGTTGCTCATTTTCCCCCTCCCTCATGAACCCTTCATAATTCATTAATTATTATAGTTTGTCATAAGTTACATGGTCCAACGTCTCCCTCCGCCTGAGAGGGTAAATCTTAATGGGAGTAGAAAGCCTCATCTTTGTCCAACGGCACGTTGGTGGTTTCCAATTGCTGACCTTGTCGTTAGCAGCCCACTGCATAACCCGCTGTGCCAGGCATCTATAAAGTAACTCTGGCCTGACACAATTTTGTATTACGATCATCTCTCCCCTCTAGGCTTAATTCTCTCATTGATTTCTTACCTCACAGACCTCACCTGGTTTCCTTAACTCTGGCCACTTCCTGACTACGATCCACCAACCAGACTCCCACCACATGAGCATTTCCCCATGCACAGCTCAAAGAAAGCCCCTTACTCCCCAAATGCAATCCCAAACTCTATCTTTGCCCTCCAAGGTGCTAATCTACTGGTAGGCAGATTCAACGAAACCAAAGTTATTATCTCATTCTAAAATTGAAGAATGCCTTTCAAGCCACCTCCCATGTTGATGATTCTATTACGGAGCCTTCTGTCCAATGGGACTCAGCCTCACCTCCTGAAACTAACTGCCTTCTTGGCACTGGGCACCAACTCATGACCTCAGCATGATCCCGTTGCCAATAGCCCACCATCTCACTCCAGCAGCTGGCCTTGTGTCGTTCCTGAGACCTCTCTCCGCCATAGAGACTTGTCTGCTTTTGTTTTTAACCTTCTCCGGGTGCACCCTCTCCCTGGAAAGGGACAGCCCAGGAGTCGGCGTTAGAAACCCATGTAAAGAAAGGCTTCTGTTCTCAAAGGAAGTTCCAGAAGTGGACTTGCCCTCCTCACTATTACTGTACAATAAAATAAGCCTCTCTCAAAAGTAGAAAAACCTCAACAACACAAACAAAAACTACAAGCACCAAGTGGGATACTGCTCTATCATGGGCTCTATTTCAGAAGGCAGGCTTTTCAATGTCCATGAGTCTGTGTTCTAGAACAGGGGTCAGCAAAGTTTTGAGATGAAAGAGCCAATCCTATCCCTCATAGCAATTTTAGAATTCTGCTGAAGCTAGCCAGCTCTCACTAATGCCCCAGGGTGAAGTGGGGTGTGAGGGAAGAATGACCACACGTCATTTCCTCAGGGCACCAGGGCTGTGCATTGAGCCTCAGCTCTGTTATTATATTGCCTGAGGTCAAGTTCTAGCCTCAAGCCACGCCAGCATTGGGACAAGAAACACTTAAAATGAACGTGACACATTGGGTTGCGCTATAACTCAAGGAGCCTCCAGAGGCTATTGGGGTCGTGTCAAAAGGGACAGATGGCCCGTTCAATGGAGCTCCCAACTATCAAATGGGGAGCACCTGGACAGCAAGAAAAATAACAGAAAGGGATTAGATGCAGAAATGTGAAATTTATGAGACGGTTATGTTACAAATAAAACCAGCTCATCTCATTGGTCGTGCTTTAAGATCGCTGGGATACAAATGCATTAGGCTGGAGCCAAATAGAGGGAAACAATTAACGAATTGTCATTGGAAGCATCTCAGCTCATAAATGCCAGACGAATGATGGAATTGGGGGTGGTGGGGGAATAAAGGAACTCTTCATCTTATACCACCTGATGGAAAACAGAGCAGCGAGGACCCAGGGCTAACCAACGCTGTGGTGTGATCATTTCATTCTACCCACCTCCGGAGACTCCGCCTTCACGTTGGCGGTCAGGTAGAGATAACAGGCGCTGACCTGGCGCCCTGCACTTTTGTGAGTGTGACTGCAAGAAGGCCCCTGCAGTGTGTGCGTGGTGCCTGGCACCTCAACAGCAGGCTCAATAACCAGTAAGTGTTATGAAATCAGGGCAGCGACTTCCCGTTAAGGCCACTGACCTCTGAGGGCCTCCCCTAGGCCCTGAGTTGAATGATTTCCTCGTAGGAGGTCCGAGCACGCTTCTCCAGAGGAAAGAGGCTTTCATTTGTTAGGGTTTCATAGCTATATGAGTATTTGTGAATGGGACGTTAAGCAGATGCCTGTAGGAGTCGGGGTGGAGCGGAGCAAACTTTTTAGCAGCACAAATGCCCTGAGAACCTTTGGGCAAAGTTCCTCACCCAACAAACTCGAAAGGAGCAAGGTTAGTACCTTATCATAGAGTCGGTTAAGGAGCCGAGGCACCGTGGGGAAGATGGTGGGCTTCAGAGTCTTCATGTCATCCGGTAGCAACCGGATGTCTCCCTGGAAGAACCCGACTTTGGCTCCAGAGCAGAACACGATAGCCTGAAAACACAGCCCAGAGGTGGGGCTTGGAGTCAAAGGGCTGCCTTCAGGTGAAGCCTGTCTTGACCAGGCTTGAGGGAGTCTGCCCAGGTCCTCCGGCACCTCTCCCTGCACGGCACATGCACCTGCCCCAGATACCAGGACTCAGACAGCTGAGCCCCGAGGGAGGATGATAACTCATTTCTGTTGTGACAAAAAAATCAGCCTGACTGTGAGACTGCGCACCCACCCCCAAATGCCCCCGAAGTTCTGGGGCCATCCAAGCCAGGGCTTACCGGTACACTAGGTACACTATATGCAGAAGCAGGAGCCAGGATTAGCCCAGTTTAGCATATGCAGACAATCAAGAAAAGCTCAGCTGCGTGTTTGGGGGATGTCACCATAGGGCCAGCTCCCTGCCTGTGCCCTTGTTCTTATTAGAGCAAGGATCTGTAAGTGCTACATAACTGCTTCTGGAATAAACATAGGAATCGCAAGCCAGGACCTCCCTTTTTACATAGCTGCCAGGGACGACACGGATGGGATGCTGACCTGCACAATCCTCTCGAACATATGAGCCAAGGGGAGGTAGGATATGCTCACGTCTTCAGGTGAGGGGACAAAAGACTCCTGCACAAAGGACAAAGAGACCGCATCGACTGGATTAATGTCAACTTTCTCTTCCTAAGGGCATAGAGCCTCAACCCATTTTAGGCCTGCCATTTACAGTTGTGCAGGTACGTACATGGACAACTCTAATAAGGTGCCTTGAACTGCATGAAATGTAGACATTTTCAATGACCCTAAAAAGGCCAAGGCTGAAAAATGCACAGTTGTCCTTCCACCCTCCACCCCAACCAAGGCCATACTGCACCTGTCCACACTGCAGGTCGTTAACCTGCTGGTTTTAGATCTGCTTTCTCTGACTTAAAGAACAGACTGTTTCAGGGAGATTCGTATTATCTTTCCACTAACCTCTAAGTGATAAAGGAAAGAGGCAGAATTGGCAACTACATTTTGATGCGTCAGCATGGCTCCTTTGGGGTCACCTGTAGGAAACAGGAGGTGGAGAGGACAATCCTTACACGGCTGGTAGATAGATCTGGGCCTTGAATCAAGAAGCTAGATTCAATTCATTCTGTTACCGAGCCCAGAAGCCACTCTGCAGCAATGTATTTTTTGTGGATGGTATGTGGTGGATTTTCCATGATTGATAGCCCTCAGGGATTCTACTACTGAAAGCACTCTTGGCCTTCTACTCCTACCCCAGTGACAGGCAGGATCCCAGACAGCAACCCAGTCACAAAGAAAAATCCAAGTAACCCCCTTGTGTTATTTTCATTGGGGGCATGGAGGTGGGGAGAATTCCAATCCAGTAATCTTACCTATAGACTTACTTTACTTATAGACTGAGCATAATGGAATGAATATAACTGTAAGCCACCTATAGGTTACATTGAAATTAATTATATGTGCTAATAACTGGGTAACAGCAAGATAAGGGTTAGGGTAAGTCGTTGAGATGGAGCTACCCCATCTCTAGGTTCTCTTGACTAAAGGACACCCTCCCATGTGAGAACAATGGCTTGGAGAAGAAAGACTTTCAGAGGCCATCCCTGAGATGCCCGCAGCCCAGTGGTTATCGTTCCTCCCAGTGTGGTCAGTGAAGCCTCCTTACTTCCATTTATGACTGTCTATTTGGGCATCCCTATGCTAAAGCCTGAGAAGATAAGCCCTTAAGGACAGGGCTCCTGAGAAGATGTATTTACCAGTGCACCAGGCATTGGGAACTCAAAACAATCACTGACCAAGGGCCTCTGGAACAGCTTCATGGACACTGACCTGTGGTTCCACTAGTGAAGCAGATGATACTCAGGTCTTCTGGACTAGGAGGCTGGCAGGAGAAGGAAAAGACTTAGTCTCACATGACCTTGATAGCTGACTATGGCAGGGCTCAAGGTCAAGCAGAGAACACTTACCACGGGCTTTCTGAAGTTCTCTTTGCCTACAGTCTGCATGAACAGAAAGCGAAGAAAGAAGCACATGAGCTAGAATAGATGATGTAAAGCAGACACACACATGCACCCCTTTTCCTTGGGGGCACTTTGGGTATGAAGTTGGGATCTGCCTTTGTCAGGGTGAGATTCCTGGCTCCAGAACCCACATCCTTAATTCCTACTAAATTCTACTCTCTCCCACCAAACCAAATTCACTGCCATCAAGTGAATGCCAACTCATAGCAACTCTATAGGACAGGGTAAAACAGTCCCTGTGAGTTTCTAAGACAAACTCTTTACAGGAGAAAGCCCTGCCTTTCTCCCATGGAGCGCCCAGTGGGTTTGAAAAGCTGACCTGGGGGTGAGCAATCCAAAGTGATAGTATGTATAAATGATCTACTTATAAACCTATGCATGCCAGCCTCCCACATCCTTTTATGTCCAAGGGCCTCGAAGAAACTGCTCTCCAGGCCTCACAGCGGGCATCTGATTTACCTTCTCATGCCACCCCTGGGAACATCAGCCTGGTGCCTGTGGGGGAAAGGCTTGCAAATTGTCTGTGGTGTCAGATCCATACCTCTGCTTCAGACATGGGTAAGATCTCAACTCCACTCTTCTCCCCTCTTAGCTTGAGCTCATCCATTAAGGGGTCCATGAGGATGATTATCTTCAGGCTTGAGGTGAGGCCCTTCTCCACATTCCCTAACAGGACTGATGCCTTTTGGGGAGTGTCACAGATCACTGTGACAATATTCGCTGGAAGCAGAAGCAGAGCTGAGGTTACCTCTTACCCGCACCATCTGCTAAGTACCTGATTGCAGGGCAAGGAAGAAGAGCGTTTTAATTGCCCCCTCCCCCAGCCTTTTTTTAATATCAGGGTAATAGGTCACCAAAGGAGATGAGGTCTGCCGCTCAAGATTCTGAGTGCACCATCTAAAACCATCCACGGATAATAGACAGACTTCCTTGAAACCATAGCACACAGTTTCTTTCACGCTGGCAACACATTTTATAGTCTCTATGAGAGTCATCTAGACAATAGGTAAGGATCACTCAGCTGTGGTCTTGTTAGCAGGTTTTATTTCTGGAGGGGGAGTAGGGAATAGGAAAAACGGGATTCTAGAAGACAAGCTTTTTCTGATTCTGATTCAAAAAGTACCAGCATTTGCCTTGATACTTACTGGTACAAATAGAAAACTTCTGATTGCATTTATTGCTCAAATAGACCTACTACACCTTCTCCTCATTTGACGATTGTCTTGCTAGCTGATACTGTGTATTTATGACAACAGTGAAAAATCTGCTTTGGCCCTTTTGTCCATTGGCAACATGCATCTGGCAGTAAAAAAACACCAAGACGGAAGGTGCGAGTAACACTGTGATTGTTGAGAAGATGCACCAATTGGGTTGAGTCGTGGTCCTCAGTGGGTTGACAGGTATATAACGATGTGAAGATATACTTGGGCAGTTATGGATTGATATAATTTGGCAGTTATGTGATGCCGTGGTCATCTGCCATTTTATGATGTCATGTGGTTAACCACCATTTTCCCATACTGCCAAATTTTGCATAATGACCTGATCTTTGGAAATTAACCATATTTGAAAATGAAGACTAGGTGTAGTTCTATGAAAGAAAGTAATAGCTCAGATATGTGAAAGAGCTATTGCTTGTCCATTGAAATTGCACTTGTTTTATCTAACCATGTTAATAAAAAATGTCCTTAAGACTTACATGCATATATGTATATGCTGGTTAATTACACTGGCTTAGATCCATGGGGTAGGAAATTCTATGTGCAGCTTCACAGTGACTCCTTCAATTAAGTGCTCTAGCGTATATCCAGCATGGCCAAAGTTAAGTAGTATTGACTCTCAGACATACTGTTACACTTTGCCCCCTTGAAGCATTTTATTGAAACTTCTGTCTGTGCAAGTCTCCATCTTTGGGTTTTCAGTAACTTCCCTATAACAGAGGGCATACTCATTATTAAGAAAGAGAACCGCATGGAAAAGGGTGATATAGAACACAGAGTGGAGGGTTGATGAATGATTTGAACTACTGAATGCAGAGCTGATGGTCTGCAATGTAATGTCCTCACACACACCTAAAATCACAATAAAAAGTCCACTTATTGAAAAATAAATAAACAACTGTAATGTAAGTGCAAAGTTTACCCTTGTTGATGATGTATATGATGGCCTCTTCTCCCAAGGTGTCATACAGGGGAACAGCCACCATGGAGTATGTATAACAAGCAAACTCGGAGATGATCCACTGTATGGAGAGAAGATCGAATAAGGGCTGGAGGGCACTTTGAAAAAGAAGAGTATTAATCCAGTCATCCGGTCAGCAAAAGCCATAGTATTGGTTGTAGGGACTATCACAGACAATTTTAGAAAGTGATATAGAGTTAATAAGCAAGGTACAATAGGCACAGAGGGCTACCGTACTAAGGTAGAGTGTGCTAAGAGGTACAGAAAGCACCAGGAGTTTTCAGAAAACAGAGAGCACCTTCAAGGATAGGGTAGTCGTTATCCAGGACTGCTTTCAGGAAGAGATGTGGCAGGGCTTTGAAGGACCGATAGGATTTGGTTATGTAAACAGAGATTGAAAAAACAATACACCAGGAATCAGGAAGAGTGACAGGAACTCTCACTGAAAAGATGGGTCAGAATCTGCTGATGTTGAGCCATAAGGGTCAGTTGAAGTTTGGTATAAAGTTCCTAAACTAGAGTCAAATATAATTCTTCTTGTGGAGACTATTAACAGCAAAGACTCAAAACTCTCACTGCCATCTAGATGGTTCTGACTCATAGCAACCGTTTAGGACAGAGTTTTCAAGATTGTAACTCTTTATGGTTGTAGAAAGCCTCGTCTTTCTCCTGCAGAGTGACTGGTGATTTTGAACTGCTGACCTTACGGTTAGCCACCCAACTCATTACCACTGGAAAGAGCAGTCACTGACTTCAATTTGGGGCATTAAGCAACCTGACTCTGGTGGATATATGTCTTTCAACTACTCTGAACCATACAGGATAGTGGATAATGACTAGGAGATAAGTTTAATTCTCATTAGTTTAATGTCTTGAATATGCTTCTAGTTCATTGTGTAATGATGACGATAGCCACTATTGTCATCAGACATGAAATGGACCATTAGTGATGGGCTGGGCAATGATGTGAGTACAAATACCTAGGCTAGAAGACTGACATTCAATCAAGAATTAAGAAGGCTCTGATCTAGAATCCTTTCAAGCTGAAGACACCAGTTGTATGGGATTTTTAAGAAACTGTGGTAAGTCATCAACAAGTGTCAGCATGCTAGATTGTGAATGGGCTTACAAGCATTTTAGACTTAGCTCTGAGTAACTTCACTGCGCTAAATTGAAATGATTACCTCTGGCCTATTCTGAGCAAAGATGCCAACAAAATTGTTCGGTGTTGCCATATGTCCTTTATGCAGGAGATAGGAACCCAGGTACTCTGCTCGATCAGACACCTATAGAAGAGGGGGAAAAAAAAAAAGAGGCTGAAATCCAAAAGATATCACATTAGCGCAGGATAGCACATCAGCAAGTGAATCTTTCCTAAACCAATGACTTGACTTACCTGTTTGTAGGACAGCCATTTGTAGGGCTGGTTTGGTTTTCTGTATCCCAAGCAGGGTCCATTGTCTGCAAACATGACATTAAAATGTAAATAAACTAATAAGTTACAGTTGTAAATCCTTTGGATCTGCGAAAGCTGAAGATTAGAAGAAGCAAGATATGAAGAATGGTGCCAATAAAAATCTGAGCTGTATGTCCAATATAAGACTCCATTATGTGTCTGAGGAGTTTAAAGTGTAAGTATTCAGTTCTCAACAACAGAGAAAGTCTTTTAAAATACATGTGAAAATTTAGGGAATGCTACAAAACAGAGGTGTGGTACAGTCCTGGAATATGTGACCTGCTATGATAATGTTGACATTCAGAGAAAAATTTCAATATTGACTGACTCACCTAACATGACCAGGGAAAAACCCAGAAGTAAACAAGACATCCTGTATTAATGAACCTACATCGAATAGCCTTGTATTATACTTTTGTATAATAAAATATGTGTTCATAAAATGTAGAAACATTAAAATTTATGTGTCATTGATAATCTTGTCTCATAAACACCATTATTAACACTGATGTTTCCTTTCCTAGTTGTCCAGAATTGGAAGAAGATGCATTAATATACAGATGAAACAACCTGTGCTTGCTTAAATCGAAGGGGACTGGAAGTACTTACTGGAAAAGATCAAAGTTCAACCTTCAATATGGAGTAAGCCTCATAAAGACAATAAAAATCCTCCAAATGGGACCAATAAACATCATGAAAGACGGAGAAAATATTGAAGTTGTCAAGTATTTCATTGGGCAATCAACGTCCATGGAAGCAACAGTCAAGAAACCAAGCATGTATTGCATTGGACACACCTGCTACAAAAGATCTCTGGATTGAAAAGCAAAGATGTTATTTTGAGGACATCTTTGAGTGTGCCGAACTCAAGCCATGCTATTTCCAATCGCTCATATGGAAGGGAAAGTAGGACAGTGACTAGGACAACAGGAGAAGAAGTGATGCCTTTGAATTACAGTGTTGGGGAAGACTACTGAATATTTTATGGAAGAACAAACAAATGTGTCTAGGAAGAAACACGGCCAGAATGTTCCTTAGAGGATGATGAGCCTTCATAAGGACATGTTGTCAGGAGGGAACAGACCTTAGAGGAGAGATCGTTCTTGGTAAAGTAGAAGGCCAGGAAGAAAAGAAGGCTCTCAGCCAGATGGATGGACACTGTGGCTGGGAAAATGGACTGAAACACAGCAACACTTGTGAGGGTGGCGTAGGACCAGGTAGTATCTTGCTCTTCTGGAAAAGAGCTTCAAAGGGGTCATTGAAAATGGAAATGAAAAATTTCCAGGATGGAACGCTCTTGCACACCTGCCTTAATCTGCTAGAGAACATTGCCCCATCCCTGTAGAATGTTCCTGACTAGCTGCTGCTGCAAAGACCATTTCATTGTTCTATCAAGTCAGCTGGTTCTGGATGATGGGAAATTCAGTGGATGTTGTGAGCATGTGCCCATTGTCGTGGTTTACTTATTTGCTGTGATGTGAGTCCCTCGATCCAAGCAATGGTGTACGGAACACCACGGCAGTGGATAAGGCATTCTGTGAGTCCACGGACAGTAATTTTTGACAGAAGCCTTCCGTTGGCAAATCCAGTAATATGCCTTTAATATACTATACCTCAGCAGGAGATCAACCCTACGTCAAATTTCAGTCTGTAGGGACCGTGATTGCCTTTACCTTTCATAAGACATCATACTGGTCTATTACACTGATGTCATTTTGCTGACTGAACCTAGTTAGAAAGAAGAGTCAATAACTCTAGAAAGTGGGACATGAACCCCACTCCCAGTACCAAATGTCTTAGGCTGGTTCTCTAGAAAATCAAAACCAATGAAGTGTATTTGAACATACAGAAATCTATATCTATTTTTTTTTTAATCTCCAGGAAATGAGATCTAGTTGCAGAGGTTGGCAAATCCCAACTTTGTGAGTCAGGCTGTAGGCTTCTCTTGATTCACACATTAGCAAGGGTTGATGAATCCAAGATGAGGAGATCAGAGAGCAGACTGCTAGCTCATAGGAAGGAGAGGCTGACCAAGCTCAAAAATTGGAGGGCAGATGATGGTGCTGAACCAGCCCGTCAAGTTAATACCCTTTATAGTTCTTTGGCTGATCCCCTCATATCACATCACGGAGGATTATTGTATCATTTCTACAACTGCCAAATTATGTCATTGAATAACTTGACACCTTAAATAAATTGACCATGTCAAATTGATCACGTATTCTTAGAATAGAGTCTCTAATATCACATAACTGGTCAGGAAGGGGAGAGGGTCAGCATAGCTCAGGTCTCAATACTTAGCTCTTGGCTCTTCTAGAATAGCAGCAATCATGTGCTTTTCTCCCATCAGCAGCACATCAAGCTTCATCATACTCTCATCTTTGAGGCACAACTCGTGTCTTTTAGAAAGGTCTGCTGGTTTGATAGGTTTCAAAAGGTATTACTTGTCTACGTTTCTTTAATAGCTAGTAAAGTGGAATGTTTTCTCTTACTTGTGAAACTTTATTTATGGTCATAGATCACCTGTTTATGCACTTTGTCCATTTCTTGGACAGGGTCTGCTGTGATACAGAGGCTCATAAAAAGCTATAAGAGTGAAGAAAAACACACACACATTTGCTGTCAGTATTTTTCCAATTTGTGTCTTAGATTTTTCAATCAAAAAATTAAACTTCTGAACATCTAAATGATTGAGTCTTATTTAAGATTAAATTAAGTGTAGAGACAGCCATTTGCTAAAGTTCAATAGGTATCTCAGCTCTCAGGACCAGAAGTCATGACACTAGGCTAAGGAACAATCCTAACTTGGGGAGAAGCTGCCACACCTCAGTTGAATGAGGCTGAATTATAAATAGAAAAGTAGAAGGGGCAGAGCAACTGTGGGAGCAGAGCAGGGAGCACCCCACTCCCACCCCGCGAGGGAGTACAAAGGACAGACTCTGGGGCCAGAGCATGGTACCCCATCAGACCTGACTGAAGGACCTGCCTAGAGATAAAAAATCAGACCTTGATCTATTTACAGGTTTTTCTTTCTTTAAAATTTTTTTTCTTTTAATTAATTTATTCTTTATGGGTCATTGGTTTTCTTTTTTGTTGTCATCGCTGTGTTCTCATTAATCGCCTATCTTGCTATGGCTTGATTTTTGGTGCATATTATTATCTCTACAGATCTATCTAGATAAGATTGTCTGGATGAATAGTATGGAGGAGAAAACAACGGGACCAATGATCCTGGTGGGACACAAGAGAGGGGGAACTAGGGGTAAGGAGGTGGTGCTGACCAACCCAGAGACAGGGGAGCAACTAGTGACCCAAAATCAGTGGCAAGGAGGGTGTGAGAGGCCTGGTAGGGATTCAGCGAGGGCAATGTAACTGAGATAAATTACTGAAACCCAAATGAAGGCTAAGCATGATAGTGGGACAAGAGGAAAGTAAAAGGAAATAGAGGAAAGAACTAGGTGACAAAGGGTATTTATAGAGGTCTAAGTACTGGCATGTACATATGTAAGTATATTTATATAGGAGGGTGGGGAAATAGATCAGCATGCATATATTTATAAGTTTAGTATTAAGGCAGCAGATGGACATTGGGCCTCCACTCAAGTACTTACTCAATGCAAGAACACGTTGTTCTATTAAATTGGCATTCCATGATGCACACCTGCCCAACACGATTGCTGAAGAAAAATGGGTGCCTAAGCAAATGTGGGGAAGAAAACTGATGGTTCCCGGCTATCAAATGATATAGCATCTGGGGTCTCAAAGGCTTGAAGGTAAACAAGCGGCCATCTAGCTGAGAAGCATCAAAGCCCACATAGAAGAAGCACACCAGCCTGCCTGACCATGAGGTGTAGAAGGGACCAGTTATCAGACATCAAAGAACAAAAAATCACATCAGTGGGTCCCCACCTTCCCGATACAATCACCGAAGACAAATGTATGCATAAGCAAATGTGGTGAAGAAAGCTGATGGTGCCGGCAATCAAAAGATATAGCATATGGGGTCTTAAAGGCTTGAAGATAAACAAGCGGCCATCTAGCTCAGAAGCAGCAAAGCCCACATGGAAGAAGCACACCAACCTGTGTGACCATGAGCTGTTGAAGGGATCAGTTATCAAGCATCAATGAACAAAAAATCATATCATTGTAAATGAGGGTGAGTACAGCGTGGAGACTCAAAGGGTTGTGAGGAGGAGATGAGCCAGTCAGGGTGCAGGGTAGCAGCGATGCAACATATAACTTTCTTTAGTTCTTAAATGCTTCCTGCCCCCCACTATCATGATCCCAATTCTACCTTACAAATCTGGCTAGACCAGAGGGTGTACATTGGTACAGACAGCAACTAGAAACACAGGGAATCCAGGACCGATGACCCCTCCAGGACCAGTGGTGAGAGTGGCGATGCCTAGAGGATGGAGGGAATGTAGGGTGGAAAGGAGGAACCGATTACAAGAATCTACGTATAGCCTCCTCACTGGGGGATGGGCAGCAGAGAAGAGGGTGGAGAGAAACGTTGGACAATGTAACATATGACAAAATAATAATAATTTATGAATTATGAAGGGTTCATGAGGGAGTGGGGAGTGGAAAGGGAAGGGGAAAAATGAGGAGCTTATATTAAGGGCTCAAGTAGAAGGCAAGTGTTTTGAGAATGATGATGGCAACAAATGTACAAATGTGTTTGACACAATGGATGTACGTATGGATTGTGATAAGAATTGTATGAGCCCCCAATAAAATGATTTTAAAAAAAAGAAAAGTAAAAGGGAATTTTCCATAGAGTGTCTAGCCAAGCTGTTGAGTGGAGCTTGGGTCTTGCCAAATGGAAGTCTTCTGAGAGAAGGTTACTGGGGATTCAGGGGGACATGGGGAGCTCCCCTATGAAATGGCTGAGGAAAAGGAAGGAAAGGAATAGAGAGAGCGCTTTCTGACTAAAGAGAGAAAACATGAATAATGAGACAGTCTATAGCAGAGGTTCTCAACCTGTGGGTCTCGACCCCTTTGGGGATCCAACGACCCTGTCACAGGGATCACCCGATTCATAACAGTAGCAAAATGACAGTGGCGAAGTAGCAACGAAAATAATTTTATGGTTGGGGGTCACCACAACCTGAGGACCTGTATGATAGGGGGCGGGATGAGGAAGGTGGAGAACCACTGGTCTACAGGAAGGAAGAAAGCTTCATCCTGCTGAAACTCCTGCATAAAAGCTCCAGAAGTCAAGCATGTCAGGCCGGTTACACCCAATCACGCTCTCTTGGAAGGACAGAGCCACTGTTCCCGCCCCACACTTGTGCACTAACAACGGTCACTAGAGACAGCTACCTTTCACTGACTGCTGGTTGTGAGCTAAGGAGTCGTGGTGGTTTTGTGGTTAACACTTAGCTACTAACCCAAAGGTCCTTGGTTGAAACCTGCTCCGTGGGAGAAAGATGTGGCAGTAAAGATACACTGTGGAAAATCCTAGGCGGCAGTTCTAGTTCCTGCACGGTCCCTCAGAGTCAGAGTGGACCTGAGAGCAGCAGGTGTGGTTGAAGTTTGGCACTGGAAGCTAGGCACATCAACCCTCTTGGGTTGTCCCAGCTGTTGTTAGCTTTATGGTACCTAGGCTTATGAAGACTTGGGACAGCAAATGCTTCCTCAAGGTCATCCAGGAAGATGGGGATTTGGGGAAGGTGAAAGAAGCTATGTTGCATTGTCTTCCCAATTCCCTGTTGATGAAGATGCTAGCAGAGGCCAGTGGCCAGGGAAATAATTGGCCCAAAGGGGCATCAACAGTGGTCTCATTAAACTCTGTGCCCTAATCAGCTTTATTCTATTAGCTGAACTTCTGACCAGGCAACAGCCTAGCCTTTGATTAACTTGTTCAACTCAGACCTCACTCTTATAAGGTGTCAACCCCACCTATCAACCACTTCTCAGACAAATTTCTGCTCATAAACTAAGTGGAGTTCAAAAGCTGGCGTGCAGAGTCCGGGGAGGGGAAACTTTATGGCAAATGCAGATTCTTGGTTCTCATCACCTAGAATTCTGGCTCAGTGAAACGAAGATAGAGTTAGAGAATCGCTGTTTTAAATAATATCCTCAATGTATGATCCTCAGACCACCTGTCAGGTAGATGTCCAAAAGATATTTTTTTCAGGATGATGCATTATTCAATTCCAGTGGAAACCTGAAGTGTCTGTTTTTCCATGGCAGTACACAGGCCCGATGTCCCATGCTTGATCACAAGAGAAATGTTTTGTTTTCATTTAAAACTACTAACTTTGTTTTCTTTATAAATTATTTTCTGCACCATATATCACATGCTACATGACTCCTCTCTAGTTATAAAAGCAGTACATGCTCAATGGAGAAATGCTAAAATAGAAAACAACAAAACAAACAGGAAATTCTGCCATTTTTAGTTGCCAGATAAATAGGGAAACTAATGGTTGTTTTTTAAGAGGTGTTTACTGTTGGCATGGATCTAAAGAAAGGCTGATTTCAAGTAGAAATACCGACACCAGGCCCCTCAGCAGCCGTCGTCTAGAAGGCTTTTTAAAAATAACAAAAATCACCCATTGTCTGAAGGAGCAGCTAATTTTGTAAAACTCTTAGGAGTTGGCCGAATTAGAACAATGTAGTGAAATCAGGAGTCCTGGTGGTGAAGTGGATATGCGTTGGGCTCTAATCTGAAAGGTTAGCAATTGGAAACCTGGAGAAAAATGGAGTTTTCTACTCCCACCCAAAGTTCCAGTCTCAGAAACCCACAGGGGCAGTTCTATCCTGTCCAATAGCCTCACTATGAGCCAGCATCGACTGGATAGCAGTGTGTTTGTTTTGTAGTTTTGAGTCAAATCAGACAGACTTACATTGAAATATCACCTCCAACATGCTCTAGCTCTTTGACCTTCAGGGGCATGTTACTGAACCTTGGAGTCTCCATTTCTTTATCTTTGAAAATGACGGTGACCATAACAAGTCCCCAGGTGTGAGGAAAAGTAGGTAATATATGTGCTGTGGAGATACTGGCTCAACATACTAGGCAGCTAAGGTCGGTGGTTTGAGTTCACCCAGAGGGGCCTTGGAAGAAAAATTTTAGAATGTACCACCATGTTCCCAGGTTCTGGACACCGTAACAATTAGTTTAGATTATTCTTCAATATATCATTTATTCTAATTCAATAATGTTCCCATAGATGTTGTAATCTGAATGTTGTAGTCGATTTTGTCATGGTAACCAGGATGTTATAATCAATTTTGGTATTGTTTCTTTTATGATATGGAATGTACCTTGTAAGGTATGCTAACGCTTCTTGAAGTTACAATTAATCCATTAATTTTGCTTTCTGCTTCTGTTCATGCTTGCTTGAACCCTTGACAGGTGATAATGAGTTTTTCGGCCTTAAAATACGAACTGAAATTTGGACTCGGGACTGTGATCAAAGAATCGCTTTTAGATTCTAGCAGTCCAGTTATAACCGAATAAAGACTCTTCTAAATTATCAGACATTATAGTGGCTGTCATTTAGTTGAATCCGCCACAATTGCATAGTTAGCATTTGCCTGGAGGTGGTGATCATCACAAATCCACAGGCAGGGAGGACGAGAGTGGTACAAAGTCACATTGGCAAGCCTGGGTCTGGACCTAATGTCCTGTAAAAGGAAAGACAGTAGGAGGAGAGGTGTGAATTAGCTGAGTTTTGAAGAAGTGCTTGTGCCTAGTGTGCCCAGTGATACAAGATCTAAGTATTGAAGCCTGGAGCTATTCCAAAGGAACTTGTCAAAGTCCCTGTGGTGATGTTTTTAAGAAAGCATCTTTGATTCTAAGAACAGCAGTCTGGGCCTGTGCTAGGGTTTAGGGGTCAAAGATAAGAAAGCACCCAAGTCCCCCAACTATGACTTATTCTGACTCACAGAAACAGGATGCCTGTGTTGATAATCTTGGCTCCGAATTCTGCTTACGTAATGAAGTGAATCACGTTTATAAAAAGCCTGCTCCAAACCAATAGTCTACACTAGTGAGTTCATCAAAATATAATTCTCCATGTATTGTCACTCTTTCCTAACAACTTGTCTGGGAAATCTGCCTACTGCAAAGAAAGGAAGAGATTCAGAGAAGCGAAGTGGCTTGCACAAAGCCACCCCTCTGGGAGTGGAAGAATCAGGAACCAGACTGTCACTTTGGTATTTCCGGCACTGGATCCCAGCACTGGGCTAAGACCTCTTCTACTTCGTAGATCGCAGTTCCCCGGAGACCACCACCTCTAAACACCTGGGCTTCAGGCATGAATCGGAAGGGAAGAGATGTGGGCAAGACCCCCACGCTGGTCTTCTTACACACAAGGCCATGGCTTACCAGACACAATGAGTCCTCTCTGGAAAATTTCATACATAGTCCTGGCATCTGAGAAGTAGTACTGCACTGGTTCATTGCTCTTCTGAAGTGCACCTTTCCGGGCTCCTCCCTGAGACAGAAGACCAAGTTAAGGCTCAGCCTGAGTCTCTCCCGATACTTTCCAAACTCTTTATGAATTGAGCAGAAAGAGACAAGAATGCTGATGTCCACTGTCATTCCCTTTGAGACCACAGGGATTTTCTTCACTGTTTGATTCCTCCACGTCTTTCATCTCAAAATGGTAGTAGGTTTTGAAAATGTACAAGTACAAAAAGACTTAACCAAATCGGGTCTCACCAGCACCCACAGGTGATCACAGATTTGCTTTGCTGTAGCCACCCACCCTCTGCTATGCATCATTTATAGTTTCAAACATCTTTCAAGCCCCTACCAGGTGGCTGGCGCTATGCAAGTACTGCAGATGTAGTTAGACAAGAGCATTGCTTTTGAGTCTCTTATAAACTAGTGTTTGGGCCTGTGGCTAAAAAGGAAAGAATATGAAAATAGAAGCCTGTGAAAAAGCTAAGTACACATTTTGGCAAACAAATGAAGTGACAAGTTCTGTGTAAAGTAGAAAGCCTATGGAGATCAAGGCAGACCTCCATGGAGACTTGTGGGTAAGTAGGCACTTTCCAAAAAGACGTAGCATAGAGGGGGAGAGAAGGGAGAACAGGTCGAGAGTGAAGCAGCAGAACAAAGGCATGGCAGCAAGATAACGATGTGCAGAGTCTGGTGGGTGGCTGGAGAGAGTGGAGAAAGAGGTTGGAGCTGGGAATCGACCCGGGACTGTCAACCGAATCTGCAGGGTCCAGCCTGGGGGTGGATATAGGAATGACAACAGTGAACCAAACATAGGCATGAAAGTGAGTTAGAGAAATAGGCATCAATGAAATAAGTATTTATAAATGGAAATTACTAAGATAAAACTATAAATGTACAGGGTAAGACAGGAAGGGATACAAAGGACCCTAATAATCTAGGAGCCCTGGTGGTCTCGTGGTGACGCATTGGGCTGTGGTCCCCATGGTCGGGAGTTTGAAACCACCAGCATCTCTGTGGGAAAGACTGGGTTTTCCATCCCCGTCAATAGTTACAGTCTAGGAAACCCAGCAGGGCCACTGTGAGTCAGTATTGACTCAATGGCAGTGAAATTGGGGGTTTCTATTGGGACAATCTGGAGCAGGGTTGGTGAATGTTTGAGATGGACGAGCCAATCCTATCATCACTCGAGAGCCATACATATATTTTCACAAATTGCTCTGGTCTGCATCATATCCTTTGAAAATTTTTAATTTGACTTTAGAACTGCATGTACATACCAGAAGAGCTGCAGTTTTCCGACCCCTGATCTAGAACATCATAAAAGGAGGGTTCCATGAGATGCCGCATTTAGTCATCCTGTTATTGTGGATTGTAAAGGTGCTCTGGTGGCGTAGTGGTTACATGTTGGGCTGCTAATCGAAAGCTTAGCAGTTCGAAACCACCAGCTGTTCCTCAGGAGAAAGATGAGACTTTCTGCTCTGATAGGAGTTACAGTTGTGGAAACCCACATGGGCAGCCTTACGCCGTCCTCTAGGATCCTATGAGTTGCAGTGGACTTGCTGGCAATTCGTTTGACTTGGTTTTTGTTGATGTTAGGTATCATCGAGTCAGGTCCAATTAATAGAATGTGTCTTTCTCCTTCCTATCTGGAAAGGGTTCTGCTTCCAGCAGTATGGCAGACAATGCCTAGCTGTTGTTCTTAAGATTTTCAGTGGCTAGCCTTTTAGAAATGTTCTGCCTCTCCTACTCTGTCTTAGACTGGAAGGTCCAAAGAAACCTGTCCACTGTGGTTACCTGCTGGTATTTGAAGTACCAGTGGCATAGCTCCCAGCTGCCTTTCAGACTTACAGTGACAGGAACATTCCCTAGGCTGTTGTCTTCATGGGAGAAAACTGCCACGCCTTTCTTCCTCCGCACCAATGGTGTGTTCAAACCATGGACCTTTCCATTAGCAGCTGAGGGCTTAACCACTACACCCATGGTTCAAACCCATCAGTGCCTTGGTGGGAGAAAGATGTGGCCGTCTGCCTCCCTTAAGCTTCAATGTAGGAAACCCTATGGGGTAGGAGTTCTACTCTGTCCTGTGGGGCCACTAGGAATTGGATTCCATAGAACAGGCCTTTTGCATTGAGTCAAGCTGTCAAAAATAAAGCACTGCAGTGACGGAGTGCAGGGTCTTGCTGTCTGTCAGTTTAGATGCAGGGGGTAAGAAGAAAGGAAGAACAGAGATGATTCAATCTAAAGACAGACAACTGGATGAAAGAGATGCATTTGACTGATGGAGAGCAGGAATGGGCACACATGTTGTTGAATGAGGAGAAGATACAAGAAGAGGTGTACTGAGAGTGAGGCACTTCAGGGTCACGGCCATGGGCAGGCCCATGATCTGAGTCCCAAGGACTGGAACTAGGTGGCCAGGTGGACTCTGGAAAGCCCAGAGCGGCGTGGCACTGCCTTCGACCGCTTTTCAAGTCATAGGGAAGGAGGCTTTTTTTTTTCCCCAGCTGAGAGGCAGGCATAGGGATGGGCAGGCTACAGCTTGCAAGCCAAACCCAGCCTGCCACCTTCTTTAATAAATAAAGTTTGTTTGGAACACAGTCACAGGGTTTATTTACATCGGGTCTGGGGCTTTCACATGACTGTGGCAGAGCAGAGTGGTTACAACAGAGACTGCATGACCTGGAATTTGCAAATATTTACTTTATCAGACATTTCCGTGGCCTTAAAGGATGTAAGCAATGTTGACAATGAGGAAAGCAAAGGAAAGAGTGGAAGGGAAGCGAGAAGGCCGGCTGAGAATTAAGAAGCACCAACGTCTCACAAAAGGCGTCAGCGGTCAGTTGAGGGCAAGGCTGAAGGAAAAGTCACTGCATTTAGAAGAAAGGTTATGGGTGATCCCGAGGAGGGTGGCGGATACTGGAGTAGTGCAAGCTCCGGGCTCAGGGAGTTAAATCAACCAGGGGACTTACGCTGGAAGAACTCCCGTGGTGAATGAGGGGTTGTGAGAACATGAGGCTTGCATGAGTAGGGTCAACAAGCCAGGAAGACACCAAAGAGTGGAAGTAACTGGAAAAAGACTCCTCAGCAGGGAAAGGAGACAGTAGACGGATAGAGACCGGACAGGAATGCTTTTGTTCTGGAGGGGATGGAGGATGACTAGATCAAGGTATTCACAAAGATCAGGAGAGGATGGGGCTGCAAACCACACAGTCAGCAGTGTGAAACCAGCAGGCTCTCTACTCCCATGAAAAGTTACAGTCTTGGAAACACACAGCTCGCCTCTGTCTGATAGGGTTGCTATGAATTGGTGTTGGAATGTTCAGTTGGCCCAGTGAGATAGGAAGCGGGGCTATTAGCTGGCCGATGGGGCGGTGGAGGAGCGTTGAGCAGGAACGTTGAACTTGTGCCATGTTGTAAGAATGAACAAGAACTCAAAACTGGAGTTTAAGTGGAGGGAGGGACTTCTGCACCATTCTCAGACACTGGGTATCTCAGTGACAGTGTGATGCGGACTCAACCAGTTCGATGCGGGGCTAGCAAGCATATTCTGTAAAGGGCCAGGTAGTAAGTACATCCTTTAGGCCTTTTGCGGGACATGTCGATCACATTTTATTTAACATCTCTCTCTATGTCAAAACGTAGAGACCATCGGTAGCTTTCAAACACAAATAAGGAAACCCCAAAACCTTGCCGCTGCTGAGTAGATTCTGACTCCCAGCAGTGCCGTGTGTTTGGGGGTGGACCTCCACCATAGGGTCTTCTTGGCTGTAATCGACATGAAGGGGAGCTCTCGTGGAACAGGGGTTATTAGTGAGGGGCCACTAATTGCCAGGTCGGCAGCGTGTATGCGCTCCGATGGAAAACAAGGAGGCTTCCTACCACCATAAAGATTTAGTCTCAGAACCCCACATGGGCAGTTCTATTCTATTTTTATGTCTTAAGGTACAAAAGAGACCCCCAACCTCAAATATAATTTTAGGAGAACATTTATTAAGTCTTTCAAGAGACAAAGATAGCACAGTGACTCAGATACATCATCCGGATGAGGTAGGCCATGAACAGGAGGTCAACATGGCGTCTGAGACTCATCGTAGGTTAAATAAGGCATGTAACAAAGGGAACGGCCACAAGTTCATGGCTGGTGGCAGGTCAATACATTACAGTTACAGATGGAGCCACAGGCGAGGAGTGGAGTACTGTACACACATTGTTAGATAGAAAGGCTTACAAGATTGGTCCTGGGCCTACCAACCAGGGCAGTCAGGGAGAGAGGAATAGAGCATGACTCATGACCGCATCCCTTGTACTGTCCCCAGACTGTGACTTCCATTGAAGACACACCCAGGCAGGCCCCTGAGAGACTGCCCCTCCCTGGGCTGACGGGAGAGGAGTGGAGGTTCATCCACTTTCCCAGGCATTCTGCCTGAGGGCAAGATGACCTACAGCCTTGGTTAAGGAGCAGAAAGAATTCAATGGAGGCTCCATCTAGGTGGGGATAGATTTGGGGCTGTGACTGTCATCCACCGCTTCTGCAAACCAGGGCGCTCAGAATTTAAGCCCGAATACCCTTAGAGGGTCACTATGAGTCCCAGTAGACTCATGGCCGTGAGTTTGGATTTGAGAGTTTTGAATCCTTATGAAAGCAGATCAGACCTCTTCATGGATGCTGGGAGCTATGTGTGTGTGTGTGTGTGTGTGTGTGTGTGCGCTCTATAGTGTCACTAGGAGTTGATGACAATGAGTTAAGTGTGTGTTCTACTAAGGCTAATCTGTTAAGAAAAAATTAAAAAAAAACAAAAAACAAAAAACTGGTGTATTACCTCAATTCCTACGGACTGCTTGTTTAGGTTAATTAGAGGAAAGACAGGCTGAGGCCTATTGATCAGCCACCAGAAGACAGCCGCTCCAAAGGTCAGGAGGCAGATCAGGGCCGGGGTCGGAAGTGGGGAAAACAAAAAGTTGAAGATAAAAAGCATCTTTGTGAACCACGGCAGCAGGAAATTCAGACCTTTAAAAAAAAGGAAAGGAAAATTTAGAGGAAATATTTTTTTACTCAGTGTACTCAGTAGCGATAGGTTTATAAACACACACATACCACCTAGTCCTAATAAGCTGGGTTAGCACTCTCTAGTAGCAAAATGTCCCCGTTTGCTCACTTAGCAATATTGGAGAATCATAGACCATGTCTTCCTCCCCTGTTATTTGACTGCTGTGACCCAAAGATGCAAGTGGACCATCTCCCAGACTGTTGTCACAATGACTGCCCTTTTCCCTTCGGCCCAGGAACCCTAGCAGTCACGACCGACTCCATAAACGCTGGCAGTTGAGTATTCTCCTGAGAACAATCTCTGCCTCGGTCCGTGGAAGATGGAGCTGGGCTCTCCAGCTGTATTTCCCTGGTATAAACCACCCGGAAGTAGAGACTTTGCAAACAGTGTCTTCAAAGCAAGTGACTCTACCTTGATGTTACTGTTAGGCATGTTCTAGTTGATTCTGATACATCGCAACTCTGTGTATAACAAGATGAAGCTCCGTCCGGTCCTGTGCCATCCTCACAATTGTTGTGTTTGAGCTCATTGTTGCAGCCACTGTGTCAATCCAGCTCCTTGGAAGTCTTCACCTTCTTTGTTTTTTGTTTTTTTTGCTGGCGCTTTACTTTTCCAAGCATGACTTTATTTTTTTTCAGGGAATGGTCCATCCTGATTACATGTGCTAAGTACATGAGATCAAGTCTCACCATCATTGTATTTAAGGAGCATTCTGATTTGGCTCGGAAGAAGAACGGCCAGAGAGCTCCTTGGCGACAAGGCTGGTGAGACTTTGTCTTACGTACTTTGGACATGCTGACAGGAGAGACCACTCCTGGAGAAAGACATCATGTTTGAAGCAGAGGGGCAGCAAAAAAGAGGATGACCTTCAACAAGATGGATTGACATGGTGGCTGCAAGCATCGGCTCAAGCCTAGGGACATCTGTGGGCAGGACCAGGCAGTGCTTCCTTCTGCTGTGCATAAGATCACTGGGTTGGAATTGACTCATAGACACCACCAACAACTGTATGTACTTCTTCTGAGCCCAAACCAAAGAAAAACAGACACAAAACAAACTCACTGCTATTGAGTTGATTCTGACTCACAGTGACCCTCTACGACAGGGTAGGCCTGCCCATGTGGATTTTGGTGATTGTGACTCTTAATAGGAGTACAAAGCCTTATCTTTCTCCTGGGGAGCGACTGGTGGTTTCAAACTGCTGACCTTGTGGTTAGCAGCCCAATGTGTAACCACGATGCCACTCACCAGGGCTCTTTCTTCCAAGACAGATTTGCTCATTCTTCTGGCAGTCCACAGTACTGTCAATATTCTTCGCCAACTCGCATGGATTAAAAATCAAACGTTCTGCCCCAAGGACATGTCCTGATGGCCAACCTTGCTTCTTTATCAAGCACCAGGAGGGGTCCAGAGACTAACAGCTTTCCAACTTGCCATGCCCAGAGTCCTCTCCTCCAGGGGGCAGGGGGAACCATTTCAACTTGAAGTCAACCTTAATCAAGTACACAGAATGGGCATGCTAAGAGGTGAGCATTGAAGATCAAGGCCAGGGTAAGATCTCAATGAACAGAAAACAATCAAAGCTACTACCCACCTCCCTATCCCCCAGGTTTTCTTATCGTTGCCAGCCAAGTTCAGCTTCAACCCACTCTAAACCATTAGGCTTGATGAAGGAGAGGGTTACAAACGAGAAGAGGACCCTCCAGGAGAGAGAATCGCACTGTGACTGCAGCAATGGGCTGAGACGTAGCGGGCACTGAGAGGCTGGCATAACACCAGGCAGTGCTGCACAGGGTCAGTCTCAGTCAGAAAGCACTCAACAGCACCGAGCAGCAACAGCAACCTCTGGACGGGCCCTAGAAGCCATCTAGATTAACTCTTGCTTCAACACTTTCAGATGGCTAAGAATGGCCATGGTGGTGTAGTGGTTATGCAATGGGTCACCATAAAGTCAACAGTTTGAAACCGCCAGCCATTCCTGGGGAGACAATTAGGGCTTTCTACTCCCCTAAATAATTCATCTCGGAAACCTACAGGGGTAGTTCTGTCTAGTCCTATGGGGCTGCTATGAGTCAGCATCAACTTGATGGCAGAGCGTTTTAATGACGTCAGTTCATGATCACAGCCAATGCGTGAGCCATGGTGGCACAAGGCGAGCTGTGCTCCTTGGATGCACTCGCCGGCTCCTTCAATGAAAATTGAAGCTATCTGCTGTCATGATACTTTACCACCTCAGAAACACTATAAAGGGTCATTATACCTCAGAATCCACTTGATCGGCGGTGGATTAGCTGGTTGGTTTGCCTGTGTGCCAGGCCCTCAGCTACGTTGTTTCCAGGGGTCATCTCACTTAATGCAAGCAGTGTCGTCAAACTATGTGTCGCAGAGGAGAGAGTGGAAGTCCCAAGGCCTAAAGCGACCTGCCCAAGTGCACATACCATTGCCCATCTTTGCTTCCCTCCTGAAAGCTGGAAAGCGGTTCTTTATGTAGAACCTGGCATAGTGGGAAAGGGTACAAGGGAAGGAGTTTCTAGACAGGTGAAGGCATATGCTTCCCCACAAAGGAACGTGAAGGGCAGCCAGGACACATTTCCTTATCAATGGAAGAGACAGGTGGTGAAGGAAGTGGGTGGAGAAAGGTGGAAGGTTCCCTCTACCCTACAAAGGTTGAATTGCCTAGTGGTTGCACCAGAATCCTGGGGTGCACCTAGACACGTTGGGCCAGGGAAAGGGGCGGGGCTCTACAGAAAGGCAGTCCACAGCAGAAGACTGACCAGAAAGTCAGCCAATGGCGGAGGGACCACCAATGAGTGGGATTGAAAACTTGATTAAGGGCGCCGCCCTCACATTTAGCGGGAGGCATTTAGTGTTGCACACCAAAGCACCTTCTTAATAAACTCATTAGCTCTGTTCAAACCATTTTTTCCTCTGTCTCTGATCCGAAGGCTGTCCCTTGATGGCATACGTTCTTGTGAGTGGACCAAGAGCCAAGAGAGGAGAGGCTTGAAACCTGGAGCTTCCTCCATGTAACCAAACACACTTGTTTGTAGTGTGCTAAATTCTAGTCACAGCATTCAAGGGTCTGGCCCAACACAGGTTCCAGCAAACCAGGTTCAGATTGTCAATCCTCGATGCTTTCTGTAATGCCCAGCAGAGCCACTCAGAGAGATAGGGATCGCCCCACTCAAAATTCAAAGAAGAAAGCAAGCCAAGAAACGGGGTGATCAAATCAAGATGGTGATCTCCCTCCGAGTTCGGGGTAGCAGTCAGGTCCCATTATTTGGAGTCTTCTCCATGAAAATCAACCTTTCACCTCAGTCACATGATGTTGTTTTTTAAAGGCGGCGTTGGTGGGCAGGTTCAGAAACAATGGCAAGAACGTCTGAGACAGCTTTCCACATGTTCTGCCCATGCATGGATTTTGGATTGGTGACTTCCTGTTTTGGGGAAGAGACTCCCAGAGACTGACATGAAAGGCTGACTCCTTGTTTTCTCCCACATTGTATTTAGGGTCAGACGAAAAAGAATAAAAAAGGGCAAGACAAGGCAAAAATGAAAGCAAGGTGCCACAGGAAGGAGATGATGCCAGACCCAGGGTTGATGGTGACTGCCTGGCAGGATCAGAGAGACCTGGAAGCTAGCCTTACCTGGACTTGTGGAATGGCCTGGGAGGAGCGATGAATGTCCAAGAGTCAGCAGGACACGCTTCTCAGGCCAGCCACTCTAGCCCAGGCAGGGGAGGGAATCTGCCCATGGAAAGTTAAGCGTTTCAGGGAGCAGGGAGCAGTGGCAATGGGGAAGAGAGGCTTGCTTGGAATTCACCCATCATGACCTCCCCTCCGGGTGGGATCCTGCCACCAGTCTGGCAGGATTTTATGCTCTGAGCTGCTCTTCTCTGCCTGCCTCCCCCTCGCACTGTACCAGAGATTCCTCCTGCCACACCCCTCACCTGGCCGCCCTGGCCTTTGTTCCTTTTTACTGCTAAATGAGCAAATCATTTCACTGAGGACTTTGCCTGTGTCCAGATGGCTGACTCACAATGGTGGGAGACTTTGTAAATAACATCTTCGAAACAGGGTCTGAAGGTGAAATGCGTGTGTCGGCTAAGTTGGGATGGAGGAAGCAGTGTGGCGGAGAGGGGATGGAGCCAATTCGCTGGCAGATAAGACCAGGGGAGGAGGATACCCCAAAACTCATGCCCATCGAGTCGATTCCAACTCCCAATGACCCTACAGGGCAGAGGGGAATGGCCTTTGGGTTTCCGAGACTGTACATCATCTCAGAGGTAGCAAACCTTGTCTTTCTCGAGAGGAGCTGGTGGTTTAAAACGGCTGACTTTGCTATTCGTAGTCCAATGCAGATTACCCACAATGCTAATGGAAGACTCACACCACTTCCTCTTCTCTTGAAGTCTCTTCTGGTTGCGGAAGCCGGGGCCTGGGGGGCTGTGCAATCGAGGTAAAGAAGAGAGGAGAGCGAGCTCTGTCATCCGGGGTCTGGGGGTTCCCTTTCCAGATCGCCAACAAGCTGCGGAGCTAGCTCCAACACAGGCGGTGGCCCCAGGTGGGACTCCTCCTCTGCTTTCCTGCCTCTGTCTCTGTGTTCAGCTTGTCCTTTCTTCCTCAGCCCCTTCCCTTGTTGCCACCCAGGAACATCCCTTCCTCTGTGGTCAGGATAGCCAGGGCTGGAGCCGGTCCTCTTTTGGTTTCCTGAGGAGAACCAAAGGTAGCTGCTGGGACACCCTCTGTCTTCATACTTCCTTGAGCACTCCCAGGACCGGTCCTGACATCTAGGCTGTCTCCAGCCCATATTTAGCTTTGCATTCAACCCTTTGTGGATCTGGGCAACTGCTCTTCTTGAGTTTTCTTTTCTTTGGACAAAGTCCTCCCATGGTCCCTTCTCAAACATGAAGGATCTCCCATGGCATAGTGATTAAGTGCTTGGCTGCTAACTGAAAGGT